CTGAAAATAAAAAGGCTACTGCTTCGTCTGTGATAATTACTGTTGAATATGTCCCACTGCCCCTTAAACGGGCTGTGTGGTAGATGCGCTGGATCAACGTGGAACTACATCGGACTCTGACAGGCGTTATTGAGAATGCGCGCCCATGATAAATGCCAACGTTCGGGGTGCTGTGGCGAATCCAATTGAGGCTTCATGCCGCTCCAGTTGGGATCCCTGCTACCACCAATTTTTTGTTCAAAATCCTGATCGTGTTTATTGTGGACCAGGGGGTGTGATGCTACGAGCGAGTTTGCCCGTGCCAGCCACCTGCGTCCTCACTTTTGTTATCACCAAATTGCTGAATGACACAGGCCATTGGGTTTACTCAGGTACTGGCATTAGATATGGTATCGAGAGGAAACGAGTCAACACCCAGCAAACCTGGGCCGTCAAACAAATCCATCATCGCCAAAACTACGGACCTCCTCATTGCCGACAACTGTGTACTGAACTCTACGAGTGCAGTGGGCATGCATCCAAGCCTGGAACTTCTGGCCAAGATCTTACTAATCACCAACACATTGGAGGCGGCTGTTATGCCCTGACTCTCGACAACTGTCAAACGCAACACAACTGCAGTAACCGTCACTGGTAGTTACCTCATGAAGGTAGACTAGTAGTCTAAGCTATGTAATACCACATCACAGGGGAGCAACATTTACGACTACGTTGCAGCTGGGATCTCTAAGGTCAGTTAGGCCCTCCACCGACCACAACACTGTCTAAAATCCCTCCCACGTCCTTCTTACCTCGACATTTAGAGTGCGCCGGACTGTGTTCCGACATCTATCAACAGCACAGCAGGAAAATTGACAGATTATCAGAACCTGGCCTGACAGCTGAACTGCTCTTACCTACACCGCCCTCGAAGGATGTTGAGGGCGATGTAATGAGAAAGAGTCTTGGGCATCCATGTCTTCGAAATGGCTAGTGACCTCCAAAGGCATGCCATGCTCAGGCAGCTCCAACTTAGATAAAGTATACACGTCGTACTGATGCCCAGTGAACTCCTGTCTAGGCGACGTTTCCATGGCGATGTAGCTATGGTACTCCCATGGGAAGGGGGGTGGGGCTAGAAAAGGTGCCTTAAACAAATGCTGGGATCACCTCCTCTGCGCGCTGACCGTAGTTCGCCTACAAAAAACCCACGGTCGAAACAGTCAAACAGGAAACCATACCCTCTCTCTCTCTTCGCCTTCGTCATCCCCGCCACCCCATCCCATAGGCAGCTAGGGTGAGTGCGCTCACTCTAGCAGCCTGGAATGCTCGTTCCCTTTTAGATAATCCCAGGGACGACCGGCCGGCACGAAGGGCGGCGCTAGTGACTCGGGAAATGTCGCACTACAAGGTGGAAATCGTTGCCCTCAGGGAGACCCGCCTCTCCGAACTAGGCCAACTGGAGGCGGTTGGGTGCCGGCTACCCATTCTTCTGGAGCGGTCGTCTCGAGGCAGAGCGACGTGACGCGTGTGTCGCCTTTGCCATCCTGAACGGCATCGTGGGAAGACTGCCCTGTCTTCCGCAATACATCAACGATCGCCTGATGAGCCTCCGCCTGCCTCTCCATAGAGGCAAGTTCGCCCTCATCGTCTGCGTCTATGCCTTCCCGGTAGCCAACTCTGACGCGGTAAGGAACAAATTATACAGAGATCTGCACGCCCTTCTGGCGTTTGTGCCGTAGGCGGATAAGTTGATTGGTCTTGGTGACTTCAACGCCCGCGTCGGCACAGATCATGCTGCCTGGACTGAAGTGCTGGGTCCCCATGGTGTCGACGGATCCAATGCAATGGCCCGCTTCTCATACGAGTCTGCGTAGAACACCGCCTCAAATAAACCAACACCTTCTTCTGCTTTCCCATTCGACAGAAGGCCACCTGGATGCGCCCTTTGTCGCAACGCTGCACCTGCTGGACCATGTCCTCGTCCGCAGGCGAGACGTGCTGGTGACAAAGGAGATCCCTGCTGCGGGTTGGTGGACCGACCATCGTCTCGTCATCCCTAAGATGCGGATTGGCCTACAGCCTCTCATAAGATCTCGTGGTAAGCGACCCCCGTGTAAGTTGAATACCGCTTTGTTGACATTGCGTGCTCACCATCTCCATTTCAGCAATGAATTAGGCCAAGGGCTTGCCAACCTTCCAGTCACCGCCACGGCTGCCGGCGAGAACGCCTCCGGGGAGAAACGGTGGTACCAACTACGGGACACAGTCCAGTCGACGCCTCTGACTGTCCTCGACCGCGCACGTCACCAACATCATAACTGGCTCGACGATAATGACGCTGCCACCAGCAATCCACTTGCTGAAAAGAACCGCGGCACAAAGCCTACCCTACTCATTGAGAAGACACAAATTAAACAGAGATGGGCCGAGCACTGCAGGGGCACTCTCATCTGTCCCTCCAGCATCTGCAACGTCGCCATCGCCCGTCTGCCTCAAGTGGGGACCAACGCCGACTTCGACCTCCCGCCCTCTCTCCGCGAAACCATCAGGGTTGTGCAGTAGCTGTCTAGCGGGAGAGCGCCCGCATCGGACGCGATCCCTGCTAAAATCTACAAACATGGTGACCTCCAACTCACGGATCATCTGAAGATCCCTCTTCAGGAGATGTGGCATGAATGAGTGCCGCAGGATTTCAAGGACGCCACAGTCGTCCACCTCTACAAGCCGATAGGGAACCGCCAAATCTGCAACAACCACCGAAACATTTCTCCGCTGAACATCGTCGGGAAAATCTTCGCTCGAATTCTTCTCGACCGTCTGAACAACCATCTGGAACAGATTCTCCTGTCGGAAAGCCAGTGTAGCTTCCGCCGTCATCGCAAGACCACCGGCATGATCTTCACCGCCAGTCAACTTCATGAGAAGTGTCAGGAGATGAAGATCCACTTCTACTCTACCTTTGTAGATCTGGTGAAGGCGGACGACACGGTGAATAACGACGGACTGTGGAAAATCATGCAGAAATTCGGCTGTCCCAAACGATTCATTCAGATAGTGTGTTAGCTCCATGATGGCATGACGGCACGCGTCACGAACAATGGAGTCGTCTCAGAGGCATTCGCAGTGACCAACGGAGTGAAGCAGGACCGCGTCCACGCGCCCACTTTCTTTGATGCCATGTTTTCTGCCTTAATGATGGACGCCAACCGTGACGAACGCCCCGGGATCCGCGTCGCCTACAGGACGGATGGCCACCTCCTCAATCATTGGCGAGTGCATTTCCAGTCACGTGTATCCACAACTTCTGCCCATGGACCCCTCTTCGTCGACGACGGCGCTCTCAACGCCGCCCGCGAAGACGACATGCAAAGGAGGATGAGGCTCTTACCCGCCGCCTATGACAACTTCGGCCTCATCATCAACACGGGGAAGACGGTAGTTACGCATCAACCACCACCCGACGGTGCTTACGTCGCACCCCAAATCAACGTGGACATCGCGCGGGACCGGCCAACCTGGCGGGGAGCAGTGGTGACAGGCTCAGCGATCAACGAATCCATCCGCATCACCGCTGCCAAAGTCAGACGCGAAACTCCTAAAGTTCAACAGCCCCCGCCTCAAAACGTCAACAATTAACGGTCGCCAACCTGCGTACGATGTCGCCGGACGCTCTGAGCACCAATCGGTCTCATCGGACATCTTCGAACCAACTGCAGCACCCGGACGACATCACCTGACGCCCCCTCCCCCGTCCACTTCTGCCTCGCCCCGCACGCTGACGACCAACACTGGCCACACTCCTGAACCCCCAATATCCTACTCCTCCTCCTCCATTGCATCAACATCAGCTAGGGCAGCTCCTGTACCCACCACCACTGCACAAAATTCTGACACCAGAAAATATCAGCCTCTCCACCACCAACGTCATCGATGTTGACTCGGTCCATACCTGTCCTCATTGCCCATTTCCCACACCTTTCAACTGACCGGCTCGGACAGTGGCTGAGACACGGGAATGGGGAGAGTGAGGTTGACAACTCGGCACATTTTCCACACTGTAAACAATCTAAGGCGTTTAGAGCTATTACGGTGCGCTAAAAGCCGTGGCTTGGAAGGTTTCCAACTGACGGGATAACTTGGGCCTCGCATTCGGCCCAGTGCAGTGTGCTCGTGTGGAGCGGCCGATTGGTGGCCTAAGAGTCAGACTGCAATGGCGCCTTCTTAATGTGGCCTCTGTAGCACTCCTACTCCGTGGGATTCGAGTCGGGTGTGACAGCACGCCAAAACGCGGTTCTGGCCGCGCCAGACCCTTTTGTTGTTTAGTAAAATCCTGTTCATTGGCCGTGTGAACCAGAGCGTGTGGAGTAGAGCGTCAAGATGCGGACTTGACCGTGCCATCCACCTGCATCCTCCATTGCATCCGGTCTTCCTGACTCCGTCTTGACACTGTGTCCAGGTGGGGGAGGTGAGGGGAGTGCGGTAGACGTTGCGCAAGTCTACTACCACTACAAACTTATTCACTCACAAGTCCTCGTGTCTGTTCTCACCTTGCTGTGGACATCGTCGGGAACGACGGTCGAACTGTCGGGAGTAGTAGATGGAGCGCGCAATGTTACAGTTACGGAATCGGCAGCCAGGCACACTGCCGGGCAGTCTGCCGAAAACTCACTGACCCACCTGCCCGACACCAAAAATGGATGACCACCGTATGCAGAATTACTTCCCCGCCAGGAAACATGAGTATTTGCCTGTTTGGACACCCGTCGGTCCATTGGAGCACGACTGCCAATAGGCATGGCCAATCACTAAAAACAAATTCCGCCCTCTCGGAACCATGTGCAGCGATTATCGCTTGTGGTGAACGGACCTATTGGCGGCATGCCAATTAGGGGGTGCTAGTCGATAGAAGAGTTTAGTGAAGGATGTTTGCGATCCACTCTCTCAATCCGTCTAACGAACGGCCACAGTAGCATCTGACAACTGCGTCGTTCTTACACGCCAAACTAGATGGCTGGGCCATGTCCTCTGCCACATCGAAGTAATCCTAGACGTAATCCGGCTAGAGACTGGCTCTGACTGGCGACGGCATTAGTTCGACCAACTGAAGACGTAACTGAACTTGATAGAGGTTGTGACTTATGTTAGAGAGGGCGCTCACATATCGTCTTTACAGAACTCACTCGTCCCATTGTGCCTTAGGGCTCTCTCTCAAACGCTACCGGCAGACCCAGGTGTTCTACACTTCGAGATTGGGTATGACTGGCTTACGACGACCAATAATCCCGAAATGGCCATCCCAATCTCCCTTGTCTTTTTCGATAATATCATGCTGTGGCTAATTTATGCGTTGTGGTCTACAGTCCGCGCGGCTGGTGTGTTTAGTGGATACAAGTCGTTCAGGACTCTGCACTACACCAATAAAAATTGAAGACTATCTTTTGTAACGCATGTAATATACGTTATGCAGCCCGCCGAATCAGGATAACAAGTAAGCAAAGGCAGATAGGTCATACCAGCCGGATCTAGCCGGTCATGCCTTGGGCCGCGTTTCATAGGGGTGAAAGCATACGCTCCATGTAAGACGATGAGGCAGCCCATTCAGCCGCGAAAACCTGACACGATTCGGGTACTCCTTCAATCCCCGCTTCGGAGAACTGTACTACTCTGCCGGGACATTCCCGCCTGAGCAATGTTGGATTCGGTTTAGGAGCTAAAACGAACTACTGACAGATGTTAGTAGGCAATTTTGGAGAGATAAATTGACCTAAGTAAGCAACCTCAGTGCAGCCGGTTGTCCGCCGAAACTCGCGAAATTTCAAAGTTCTAGATGTAAAAAAAGATATTGTGAGGTTCCGACCAAATTAATAAATCTCAAAAATCGACAGGAGCATGTGATTCTTAAGCATCATCCCAGTTTACTCAACCCCACGGTGCTCTATAAACTCTCATTAGCAAAGACAGCGACACTGGAAAGACCAATTTCGGCTTATTCCTGACGTCAGACAAGGATATCTCAACCCTAGGCTGCGTACTCGAGGTTCGATGACCGCGCACGCCACTCCAGTGTGACTGAATATTCCCCATCTCGGTCGATATGACATGAAGTCGCAGTCCAGTAGTGAGAGTGTCGCTCTTTGATTAACTGACACTTGTTTAGACCAAGGATATGCTGGCTGGGGCTGCACCAATGCTAGCTGACTGCTGGAAAGATAATCCAGGAATGAAAATTCCGGTGTCTGTATTTTTGTTGGCAAAAGCTTCTTTATTATTCTTTGCTCGCTGTTTTGCGACCGCCTGTGAGGACTGCACCCTCAGATCTGGAGTAAAATTGAAATTTCTCACATCAGTCTCCGGTGGTTCTTAAGAAGGACAGTTAATACTCTTTTAGGCATATTCTCTTGCTCACTTCTTTCTTTTTTAAATTTGGTAAGTGTAGTCATAAGCAACAAAATTTAAGGTACATGAAATTCGCTCTCGTATCAAAGCCGTTGTGCCACGGGGCTCGAGGCTAAGAGAGGATCTTGTCACATGAGACTCCGCTGACGCATCAGGGACTCATTCTCCCGTGCCCACTTGTCGCCGAGTGCCTTGAGCTCTCGTAGACGACTTGACAAGTTAATGGAACCCGAACAAGTGGCCAACTCGCCGAGACGTTGGAAGTGGGGGGACAGGCGGGAAAATACAGAATCAAGGGCTCGATGGCGCCGATGACGCATTATCGCCCAATTGGGATCAGGGGGAAAGGGGAAATCCAGTGTGGGAGGATGTGATGGAACACTGTGGCAGGGGTTAAGGAAGCCAGGGGATCCAGAAACAAAAGGCGGCGGAGGTGGCTTGCTGTCATTTGTCTCGTAGGGTGGGAACATGGAACGGAAGTCACCTGTACGAAGGAAAAAGGGAAAACCACCCTTAAGACGTCGCAACCTTAGGTGCACTTGGAGGAAGTAGTATGTTACAAATGAAGTTGGGGAACAAAAAACGCGACTACGACTAGGCTTCCTGACTCATGCGATAACTAACTGTTCCTAGTGAAGTGGTATTGAAAATATCAGGGATCGAGATATCCACGGGTAACGCAATAGTCAGGGTGAGTGGAAGGAACCGCCTTCTATTAATTGTTGCCAGACATACTGGCATCTTCGGTGTTAACTAAGCTGTGTGCGCGTGTACATCACTTTTGTTGCAAATGGAGGTTTGCGATGATGCACAGAACATCGGTTGATACCAGCGACGGTAGACTAACCACGTGCATAAATTTTTGCAACACTGTGGTTATCACACCAGCAAAATGATTGTGGAGACAATTAGTAAAATGCTTTCTAAACAGTGGCAATAGATCTATACTTTTACAGAGCAGACAACATGGGTCCAACGCCCCAATATTGCCAAAAGAAAGAGAGGCGTCCACCTGGAGGGATTTTTATGTGTTGACACTTCCAGTAGTGGATTCGGTGACCCATTTTTGAGGACCGGGGAATTCTGTGTACATTCCTCGTTATACAAAATGTGAGCAGCGTGCACATGATGCCAGACGCGTAGATTGTCAGTGGTTGCAGATCCGTCCCCGCTGACCGTGGACGATGTAGTTAGATGTTTGGAGGCGTAACCCGGAGTAGGGGTTGACAACCGATGTCGTGAGGTCCCAAGGGGGCCGAGGTGACGATCTCGCATCAAGACAAATCCAACATGCTTAGATGTCAAGCGACCGACGAGTCAGTTACCGCAGAAACTTGCACAAATCATAACCGGCCTCGTGAATCAACTGAGCATGAGGCTGTCGAAACGTGGTACCATTAGATCATCCAATATCGCAGCGGTCAACAACGCAGACGGCACGGACCACAACAGAACAGAGATCCGCCTTGAGCCCGCAGTCCGCATTGACGATCTACGTATCCGGCACAAGGCAAGTGTGGCCAGCTACTCATTTCGGTTTCAGTTTATTTGAGAGAAACATAGGTGTCAAGCCTTTGAAATCCCTGTTTGTTACAAGAAAGCAAATTATATCAAAAATTTGAAAATGGAAACATCAGACAGCTACAGAAGTTTTTTCTTAGATTAGCAAAGTTTTCGAAACCAGTCAGATAAACGAATTGTTCCAAGTGTTTAAAAACATCAACGTTACTAAATGTGCTGTACAGTAATCCCCCTATGGATAATCGGTGCGATCTCAGTTTCTGTGCGCAGGAAGTTGCAGTCGTTGAAAGTAGGTGGTCGAATGTGTTAGTTAGAGTGGACGTCTCCTTTCTTTTGACATATTACCTGATAATTGCACTTCCACTATTATTAGTCTAAAATTGTCTAAATTTTCCACTGTATCAAACGCAACGCCAGGGAAAGGCAACGCCCAGGAATGTCCAGCCGGCACGGTAATTCGAAGGCGCCGGGGGCAGTTTTTTACAGCATGGGTCTTTCCACAAATCGGCTTTGGGAATTCTTACCTTGAGACAGATAACACGCCTAAGTGCCAACCTCATGCCTGAACAAGCTAGTAACAGACTGATCTAGTTCGTTACGGGCTCCACAGCGTTGAAAACCTAGAAGCCAGGTGATGCACAGACATGTCAAGAACCAAAACAAATTTGACACAGACATCAGCTTGGACGGCGGGCGATGGTAGTGACTGTGCGCTACGCTTTATGACCTAACACGGGTTTGACCTGAGACCTAGTGAGATCGTAGACCAGCCGTCCCATGGTTCGCGGCCAAACATGAGAGGACAACTTTGCAGAACTAATGGCAGAGTCAGTTTTTAAACTAAGGACGTACTTTCAAGCTGTATATGAGATGCACAACCTGGCTGCTGGAACATCATTGAAAGGAGCGGCAAACCGCTCTCGTCTTCTTCCTCCTCGTCAACCTCGTCTTCGGCGTCCTCTTCTCCCTGATCCTCACCATCCTCGTCCATGGCTACTAGTGGACGCATTGGAGACAGATGAGAATGTTGCTGGTAGTGCTGCTGCAGTTGCTGTTGTCGTTGAAGTTGCAATTGATGTTGCTGCTGTGCCAGCTGCTGCATCTGCTTTTTGGACCGGCGTCTTTTTGGAGGGAATTGAACAAGGTCTGGTCCCACTTCGTGATTATGTCGAAAGTCATAGCGTCGTACGTGGAGACGATTATCATGGACGTAGAAATAAATTTTCGAACGGCAGCCAATTTTTGCAGTTCTGTTTGAGGAAGGTAAAAGTGAAACATATGAAATTACCGTTGGGGTTTTCGGCTTTTGTAGAGGGTAGCATTGGTCCCATAGCGGTAACATATGTAGACCAAGTGACTGTAGACAAGGGTTTCACAATTTGGGGAGTCTGGAGGCAATCTTCGAGTGTTGGTCTTTACATAACGATTTCCAGTCACCTGAACAGTTATTTTATTTTGGATGACAAAAACAGGGATACCATCTGGAATTCGTCCATTTTGGCCTGTAGTTCGTTGAATGTGTCAAAGCTAGTACTCTGAAAGATTTTGAGAAATTCCTCTGTACAGTCTTTTACCGTCATCTGATCTAAGGGCAAGATGAAATCAAGTTTTGGCGTGCAGCCTACTCATAGCACTGACGTCGAGAACGTCTTTAAGATTCTCATCCACTATCGGTGGCTCCAAGGAGGGGGTATCCTCCATCGGAAGGGCCATACAGGCACCATGATTGTGCTGCATATCGTAGTGGCGGACAATCAGCTTGTGCCTCTTTGTCCCCACAGAAAAGTAGGCCGAGCATTTTGTGCCCCCGACCCTAAAAGGGCAGTATATTGTATAAAATTACGTTGATAAAACTAACCGTTGCCATCGCATGCGTGCAGGATTTGGATGGCGGACACACATAAAATGCATGTAACGATAGACCAGAAACTCGCGACCTAAGCTACCCTCATTGAATAGACAGGATCGCTTCATTAAATATCGTGTGCCCGTAGCCTAAAATTGTGATCTTGGTAAGGCAACACGGACAAACAAGACTTGCCTGCTCGAAGCCCTGTAGCACTTTGTTGAAGACATCAAATGAAGAGAACGCCTTGCCCCCAAAGTGCGCAAGGAATTCATTCCCACAATCTAATACAACATCACTGGCCTTATCTGTCATCAGACTGATAAAAGACCACGTCACAGTTTTCCTGAATTAGAAAAGAAAGGGAACTGTAGTTAAATGGCGAAATCCTACGCGCGAATATCAGGTGCAGAGCAGTTTTGTTTCTTCGTAACAGACAATAAGCGGGAGCATTAAATTTTAAAAGGAATTTCTGTGACTGAGTTGGACCACAGACCGAGGTGTGCTTGTGTATTTCTGCCTGACAGACACATGTGCGAGCATAGCACGGCCAGAATACTAGTGTCAACGACATACGCAACCATACGCACAATGTTACAGATGTTGCTCGTGGAAGCGAAGAGGCGAGTTCCAGGAAGTAGTCGCGAAGCAGGAGACACGATCGTGTCTCGTTGGCGGTTACAGATGTTCTTCGATGTCTTAGATGTTCCGAGTTTACCTGGCACCCGACAACCTAAATCGTGGTAAGGGTATGTGTCGGCACCTTGATAATCCAACCCACAACCACTTCAGTCGCCGACGCTCTCTGGTCGAGAAAGCAGAGTAGACTTACAGTAAAACCAGAAAAGTTACTCGTGTAAACAATCGGAGGTGAAGAGTTATCTGCAAATTTTCAACATCGTGGCATGTAAAACAGAGAGTGGAGGAGGTAAAAGAAAACCGTTCGAGAAGCAAGTATACATCGATAATGTGTGGAGGTATGAATTGAAGCATATTCGTATGCATGAATGAGGAGTTACATGAAAGAATGGATAGAATAGGAACCATTACATGTAGGAATACATGAAAAAGAAGGCCTAGACGGATGTCACTGCAAGTTGGCACAGGGATAAAAACCGTCAGTGGTTATAGTAGGCCTCGATTTCGAAACATTCAGTCGTTGATCAAAAGTCAGCGTTAAATGTCGTTCGAGTTGCTGAAATTTCCTCTTCAAATAGAACCTTTGGCAGCGCGCAATTTACGCCCACCTGACGCCAACAACTTTTGATTCGGTTTACGGAGTTCGTGTTGCCTCTGAGCGATTGAGACCAAGCTGAAAATATTCGCTCCTGTACGGCATTGCAAAAGTTCCGGACATACTCTTGCGACTTCGGTCTTCTTGCACCACACGCATTTTAAAAACAGACACTCGTCAACTAACAGTAGCTCCCAGACCCCAAAACTCGTCTGTATGGTTCACAAATGCTTCGGAAGGACGCATACTACTATATGGCAGCTCCCTCGTGTGCACTGACCTTGGCTGGACGTATAAATACCAGTAT